CAATCCGTGATCAAACATCGAAGAAATTGACTCATGACTACAGACAAACTCCTGAAAATTAATCTGATGCTCGCTAGTCACTCGCTGAAGGACGAAGTTTCCTGCACTTCTACTCACAAGTCGTCACCAGTGGGGTCCACTCGGTCGGTTTATGTTGGTTTATATAAAGTAAAGTCTGGTTTTAAGAAACAGCAAAAGAAGAGTTCGCTGAACTTTTCACTTTATAAGCCATAGCTCTTTCAGAAAATTCGACATTAATCATTACAAATATGTGACGAGTGTTTACATTTTACTATTTGATAAATGTCCACCAATCACTGACCTTTAGAGGAACTCACACTATTCATGCAATTTTTGACTACGTATTTTGATGGTTAAGAAAATCCGAATAATTATGCTGAAGAAACCACGGCTTACGCAGAAGAAATTTCCATGAAAACACTTGTTATGATATTTTCTTAAGCACTCTAGGATTATTTTTAAGTATTTATAAAATGACAGAAATATTAAAATTGAGACAACTGTTACTTGGTAGTTTGAAGTTTATTTGTATTTCCAATCGACGATTAAGCACGGTGAATAAGTAATGATGATCTGCTTAAGAAACAGAAATTTGTGTGTAACAGAAGTTGTGTATGCAAGGTAATCTGGAAATGGAAATGAGTTCAGCTGCGTTCCTTTCTAAATTACTGATTGGAATCTATCGACCAAGTGCACGATATGTTCACTACACTGAGTGACGCAAAATTGTAGAATTAACGGCAACATGGATCTAGTGTCAGAGTTGTTGTGACATCGATAGTTTACCAGTGAAACAACAGACATTACCGCAATATATAAGCTACCTGAGAGGCGTACACAAACATGAAAATTATGTAAAACAAGATTTCTAATCAATTTAATGACAGCAGCGAATACCATACTTAAAGTAGTCAAACGCGCCGTACTTGGGTTCGTTAATCACCAAATCTTTGTTGTTAAACAAGTCAATAAGGTTTGAAAATATCATTTTGTTTCTAGGCGACATAAAAAACAATTACTACACTTATCTGCCACGTAGTTGGGAGCTTGCAGAGATCTGAACCCACTATGAGAAGTTTCCTCACTTGGTGGTCTACATTGAATCGACAAAATTTAGTAAGAACATTAGGTAGTAGGCTCCGTCCAATGAGTGTAGTTTAATATCTAATCGATTTCAAAATGTGCCGATTTAAACATATATATACACATATGTACATTTAAAATGAAAATTTCATAAAAACGTTAACATTACTTATCATAATACCACTATTTAATCAAAATTCAACTGCTGACAAATGCAATCTGATCATATACTGTGTTTGAGATCAGGAAAATCAAACTCCACACTATTCACAGGATATAAAAAATCAATGAATCTAACCGAACAGATTTATACACCAAATCAGTACAACATTCACCAAAGCATGATGTCACTAAAACATAAATGAAAGCTAACAAAATCTCAGCAAAAGGCATTGGATACATGCACAGTGTTAGCATAATTTTTCAAAAATATCCATCATCTACATGCTATAAACATTTATTATTCAACAACCCAAAAAAAAAACAATTTTCCCGAATTCTTTTGCATGGTTTCTGAACAATCCAAATTGGAATGAAACTCACCAGTTAGTTAAGCTAAAAACCCAAAGTACAAAAACCGAAACTCTTAAACTTCAGAAACACATTTTACGGTTTATTTTACATTCAATTCATATAGTTCATGAAAATACTTTCAAAAATTATACAAAAGAGCAAAACATAGGGAACAAGAATACAAGGGATGAAAGTAAAATATAAAGGGAACAATAAGTACAATATAGAAGTTGCAGAGAATCAATTATTACAAAACAATCGCAAAACAATGAAACCCGAATCCATATAATTATCACTTTAACTAAAGATTGATGTAAATGAAGGGATTTAGGCGCCTGATCGTTTGTACAAGAAATATGAGATACTATATAGAATCACAGAGGGAAATATAGAACAAATACATCGTACATAGTATGAGGAGATGAAAAATGTTAGTGTTGCAAAGTGGGGTTACAGAAGGAGACTGATAAATGCATGCAAAGCTATTTGATAGCAGTGTGAACGATGCTTATTATGTAAACGGTAACAAGATTTGTCAATTACTTAGACAATAATCGTAATGAACGTCATAATAGTAGTAACAGTTATATATATACATTACAAAAATAACTTGAAAAGGTGATTGATGAATACCTTCAGGTGACTTCATTTCCATAACATCAACTTTTTATAACACTGGGAACTGCTAACTCAGATACTGACTCCTCGGGATTACACAACTGCTGAGGTCGCTCCTGTTGTTGTGGCTGATGCTGATTAGTTACACTAAATTCATTATTTCCAGACAAGACAGTTGTGTCGTCACGTTCTGATTGATCATAATAATTTTTTAAACGAACATGCCATGCTATACTAGCCACAGCTGAAACAGACTTGAATTGATGTACAACATTGCGTGGAATAAAATAGATATCATTATCACGAAGAGGTAAACGGACATAACGAAAGCCTTCTGAATGCAGCTGATTCAGCTCACCATCATCCGCCCAAAATGAACCACACTTTTCAGTAAATAAAATAACAAAAAATTTACACATACAGCATAAACATAAACTAAATACGAGTTATTAGGTGGTATGAAATATTAGAAATTAGTTCATGTCTATTTGAACCCTTTATTTAGCATCTCAGTATGTGAACATAAAATACATACGAAGTTTCTTTAAATCAAAACTACAACATTTCACCGTCTCAAGTAGTTTGTCAAACATATCAACAAATAATGTAAATAAAGATACATTTCCTTGTAATGAAGGGACACCTCCTTGAATCAGTTTAGTGCTTTAAAATTAAGTTAATAAGGATGAAACAGGAAGACAAATAGTTGTGTTAAGTTGAAAGCATTTTCCAAGTTCGTATCTTTTGAGTCTTAACTTATCATAACATAGAAGTTAAATCTTAAGTGCGAGTTGGAAAAGACTATCATCTCTACGCCCAAATCAAGAGCCACAAATATTTCTAAGGTTGAGAAAAATTTGATCCACCGAGAAGTCAGAAAAATGCTGCTTCATCTAGGGAAACTTAGTGAGTACGCATTTCATTACAGTACCAATGACTACAAATACCACCAACCTTGTCCATAAAAACAATAAAAGTACCATAGTGTGAAAATAAGACAGTTTTCAGATGTACGTGGAAAAACTTCATATGTGCACTATACATTTACTAGGAAAACAGCTACTGAAACTCCTGATAAAATTTCTTCAATGACAACTATGAACACTGTTAATTGCTGTCGAGAAGAATCATGACAATCTACCCAAAAAACATCATCCACCTCTCTTTTCCCAATCATAAGTGTCAAATAATCATTCGTTATCCTTATGTAAACGTCCACAGCTTGGGACTGACTGTGTGCTTATCTTTTTATCTTGACTCATTAAACACTTTGTTCCACATGTTAAAACTGTAAAATATGTCTCTGTCCTTGCTTAAAATGAAACTTTTTAGTATTGAGTGCATTTATGTGACTGTACTGACAGCAATTTAGGAGAATATACAGTTTCAAATCGAGTTACCTCTTCGATAAAATCGTCATCAAGTTCTACACTTATATGACCATAATAATTACGGAAACATTTCTTATTAACAACATCACTATATTAAATTACATTCAATCAACAGTATCGATAAATTACATTACAACACCTGATGAGGGTTCAGGAATAAACCTCTATAACAGAAATGATTATATTAAAAATACAAAAGACTTATTGAGAGACGAACAGTTTAAAAAACTGGAGAGGAGCACAAATTTAAACAACAAAGTAGAAAATAAATAACCAAATGTTTGGGAAAATTGAGGGAGGGGACAAATACTTTCCACAAGTTAACATGACGAACTCATACCGGCGAGCACATACACACCAAGATTTTATGGCTTACCCGTTAACACCGATTCTAGTTAGACATGCACAATCCGTCCTACCACGCTTTAGCTAAATGGTTTTTAACTATCCTAAAACTCTTACATGAAGAACAGCTAGTGAAATATAGTATGGAAAATGTATTTGAGTTTACGGACAGAATTGAAGATATCAACATCAAAGATGACACTATGATATCTTTGGACGCAACATCTCCATCTACAAATGCACCCCTAATTGGAACGATTAATTACATATGTGAACAAATAAATAACAAGTCAATAAATATCAGGATCCCGGTAGAAGTCCTTAAAGAACCGTTACTAATGTGCATCATGAATATGCATTTTAGGTTAGCTGGCGGAAATGAGCTCTCCATTGGGTTCCATGTTAGCATATTTATTTCCAAATAAACTAGAAAATAGTACTTTAAACAACCTTATCCTATCCATTTCTACCTTTTAAATCTGTATTGATTTTCTTCATTAATTATTAACCCATTGACATTTTGACAGTTTAATTATTGTTAACAAACTTATCGCCACTTGATTGGCAAACTGTTGTATTGTAATTAATAATGCTATATATATATATATATATATATATATATATATATATATATATATATATATATATATATATATATACTAGAGTGGAGCCAGAGATGAGGATCTAATTGAAAAATATTTCTTCACTCAATCTTTCTGTTTTCTAATTCTCATTTTGTTGACGGTACTGAGATGATCCTAGTGAAAATGATTTGGACAGGAACACAATAGTGTCTCAATTCAATGCAGTACATTCAGCTATCAAATTCATGTGTTAAGAATTCCAAAATAAAGTTGCCTTTCTAGACGTCCTACTGGATACTCCAGGTAGATGAAACATTTCCCTGGCAACATTTCATTTCCTGAAACATCAGAGTTGGTGAGTCTCATGTCCATTATTTCATCAATAATGAAGTAAATCAGACATTTGAAAGGAACAACAGTGATTGTTGTTATATCTGATAGAAACTTTCCATGAGTAATTACACAGAAACAAGAGCTCGAGCACAATACTTTGATTAATATGACACTTTTCCCGAACTTGTTTTTTATCCAGAAAGCCGCTTTCCAGTCAAGAAATGTCTCAAATATTGAATGTCTGCAAATATTTCTACATTCCAGAATCTGCCAGAAAGTAGATATAGGGCCAGTACATTCTCCTTCGATTCCGACGCCCATCTCTTTTGTTTGTTTTGTTTCTTAAGGTTTGTTTCTCTCTAGTCAGACTTAGTCTACGTATGACTGTGGAACAAAAACCCTTCGACAATTTGATGGAAAAGCTGATTCATCTATGAATCTCACAGGAACATTTATTTCCTTTCTTCAAAACTTGCACTTTCACCGATCTACACCAACACGTTAGAACTATCTCAAAGTCACATACTCTCGACAATACGTTGATTAACCTAGTCAGTAATTCATCGTAACCAACTTCAAGCTCATTTGGAGTTATATCAGAGGTTGAAAGCTCTAATATGGAGTTGAAAAACTGGTTTCAAAATACTGCAGGTGGTGCTCATATCACTCCATTCTCCAGTAGGAGTTAAACAGTTCAGAAAAAACAAATCATCTGTCTGGTAAATGATATAGGCAGTGTGAAGAAAACGAAAGATGGTAGGTGAGGAGCAGGTGAACTTTCTGTGTTCATGCTTGTCAGCAGTGGCTACTTCTGGCTACCCACACCTTGGAAGTTGGTATCTTCTTAGATTATATAAAATAATAAGTCGAAATGTATAATTTTTGGTATTGACGTCTTCTAATCTCTACCCCAAAGAGGCGGAAGATAGCACAAGTGGTTTGCTGGTCATCCTAGGGAAACACCTCACTGCCGTTGTATCCCCATCTACCACCAGTAAGACTACGCTCTGTTTTTAGTATAACTGACCTTCCTGATACAAAACGAAATGGAGTTTACTCGTCTAGAAGAGTTAGTTGGTCAATAAAGTTTAAAATCTCACAGTCTTCATATAACAATGAACTGTATGAAGCAAACTCTGTTTTGTCAATGGGTATATGTACTGAGTAGCGGTTTGTCTCGTCTCACTTTACGGCCTTGAAGATTTGAAAACATAGGTCATTTCCCTACGGATGCCTTTAACCAATATTGCCTTTTGGGTGGAACAGTAGGTGTAATAATGAGGTGTCTTATAAAAGGAAGGAAATGAAATCTACGAAGTTGTGAAGTTCAGTTGACTAAGATGGCTAAGATAGTCCCTGCATATGCTGCACAACCGCCTTGTGGCTGGAAAGTGTTAGCAGAAGTCACGTTATGTTGGAAAAGATTAAGCGAAACGAAGACTGAAACATAGTGTGGCGTGAGTTACTGATAAGCTTTATCAGTAGTAATATAAAGACACATTCACGAACATAAAAATATCAAGTAGCGGAGAGATAAATTTGACGTCAAAGACAGCAAATGACTCAACGTTGAACAAAAACACGGGAGATACGAACAGAGGACAAAGAAACACAACACAAAAGGCAGAAGTAGCAAAACATGAAACATCTGTGCAAATGACGATTTGGATATAAGGTGTACATTATTTCTTTATATAGAGATACCAAATTCCAAATAAACATTCCTTCACCAAGTCTCTTGCCTACTACCACTACAATAGCACTAATGCATGAACTAAATAACTGTTAGTCTCAGCCATTCAGGGTAATGTAGACTGACTGACTGGGGTTGGTCACATGTTAAGGAGTAATAGATGAAGACTCCTACTAATTCGCCTCAAAAACATTCACTATTATAGAGGAGTGATTCTTGAGATCTTTTTAGATCTTACAAAGCTTTACTGACCTTCATTTGACTATCTCCTTCGTCTCACCCATGTTCTTTTGTTGGTATTAAACTTTATTTGTCCCCATATTTTGAAACGTGGTAAATTAATCTGATGCAATTTTTCCACGTTGATAAACTGGTCCTCCAGTCTCAATTTAGTAACGGCTATGATTTATCAGTGAAACATGAAATAGCACACTTTAGAGTCTGCAGAGAAGAATAATCTTCCTCAGAGTTACACATATGCTGAGGGAGCCTAACTTCTTGATGAAGTTCTCTTATTACCTAACGAATTAATCTGAATAATGAGTCGTAGAATTATATTGCGCTATTTCAACTTCGTCCTACACCAAACGACCTGAGAAAAATGTACTGGGGTTTTATACTTTTTTACCTCAAACACAACACTCACCACCGACAAAGGATATAATCAAAGAAGAAAGTAGGACGAGGTTTTAAGCTGAATATTTAATGCATCACAAGATGGTATGTGCTTTTGATTCCATTCAACCTGTTATCCGCGAATATTTCATGTTGGTTAAGTAATAACCCGTTAACTAATACGCTGTATTTTATCGATCTGGGGTTAAACTGAAATATGACGGAATGTGACCACATATGTCTGCCTACCATTAACACATGATAAAAGCTGATAAAAAGTGATACACAAAAGCGATTTTAGTGGTAGTAACAAAGTAGAAAAATATAAAGGACAAACCTGATTTGTTGGTGGCTCCATAATATCTAGCCTTAATCGTTCAATCAAATCAGCGTAATGACGCGGATCAAATACAACTACATCTTTAACTATTCTAGCAGGCTGATTTAATTTAAGAGCATATGGATTCGTGGAAGAACTTGCAACGTGATTGGCATCTTCAGAAGACGAACAGGATGAAGAATGAGAAAATGAGTCTTCCTCTCCAGCTCTTGGGGGATATACAGCTTTGAGAAGTCCAACAGCTGCTGTGGCATGACGTGCGAGTCCATCATCTGCATGGTCCGCATGACATGGAGTTCTATCATGGACTGCTATTTGACGTCCACTTAATGTGCGGCGATCTATAACCAGGTCTGTAATGCCACAACCACCAACAACACTGATAAAACAATATAAAAACAGAATTCACAGAATGCGTTAAACAAATGTAGAATTAACCAGGAACGAATATATATTTTGTTATGCAATTAAATGACTCAATATGAGTTTATTTTGACGAGTTGACGACGGATTGATATCGGTAAGAGAACCATTGAAAATCAGAACAGCTGTTTCCTCCGTCCTAGTTTTGGAGGGTGGGTGCGTACTGCCGATGATCCCAAAACTAAGATGAAACAGATGTCCAGTACTCCCTGGTTTTCAATGGTTCTCTAACTGATATCAATCCGTCATCAACTCGTAAAAAGAAAACTAACCCTCACAAACCAACTATAGAAAATGAGTTTATTTACTAAGCCAAGAGTTAAAGGGTTTATAATAATGCTAGTTTCCCAGGTCGAAGTAATAAATGGGTTTGGTTCAATCCGGGGATCAAAGTCGAAAGTCAGTGAGCTAAATCTTCACACCAGACAAAAAAAAATGTTTTACATGTCTGGACAGTATCCAAGCACCCATACAAACCACTCGACAATAATTACCTGAAGATCTTAGCCCAACTCAACACCCACAGTTAAAGCCATTCGATCTAGTTGGTGTCACTGTTTTACTAAGCACTAGGTTGGATTTACACTATTCGACTAGACGATAACTAACATTCATTTATGTGCTGTTAAACTGAAGGGTTAAGTTAGAGTAAAGGATAAATGGTAGAAAAAAATGATGTCTTTTTGTCATTTCTGCAACCAGAGAGTACCATCAACTGAACGACTGCAGTCAAACATATTAGACAATCACCATAAAGATAGCTGGAAACTTCGATGCACAGTTCAAAAGAGATTCATTGTAATTATCAATGAAATAGCAGATAGAAATTGTTTCGTCATTCGAATATGAGGCTGACGTACCAATTCTCAAAATCATGAAGATATTTATTTGAGAAGGGTTCATGAGGCACTCGCCAACTTAAATCATCTCTGGAGTAGATGTGACATCCGGCTATTGATCAAAGAATGTGTATATTGTACCGCAGTTTGCTCCGTTCTCTTGTATGGCTGTGAGACACGGCCACTGGAAGTGGCTTGCTTTCTTTGACCATGGGTGTTTGGATCCTGTCTCTTGTGTTAGCTGGTATATTATTGTGAGTAATATTGAGGTTAGGCGTAGTGTTAGGTAGAGACGGTAAGTCAGTCAATGAATTTGTGAAACTACATGGAGTGAGTTGGTTAGGAAATCTGCGCGCATGCCAAGCCATCACCGTTCTTGACGGGCAATTTCAGCTGACATTGGATTAATAAGGTAAGTAATGTTGACGTTAGGCGTAGAGTGTTGGGCAAAGAGGGAAAATCAATCGACGAGGCTATAAAGTTACATAGACTAAGATGGCTAGGTCACGTGCTGCGCATGCCTAACCACCGCCTCCCCCGACGGGCATTACTAACTAGCTGATATAGGTGCAGGTTGGAAAAGAGCCAGTGGTGGCCAAACAAAAACATGGCATCAATCCATGAAATCCTTGACAGTTAAACTGAGTCAGGTAAGGAGGGAGATGAAGACTTCCGGGTTGGGGGCCTCGGGACTCTAGGAATCAATGGCTGGAGACAATAGGTGACATGGCTCAAAATCGTTGTCAATGGCGCAGATGTATTCAGTCTCTGTAATCTTTCATATTCCTTTCTACCATTAACCATTCTGTCAAACTCTATTGATTCTCTTCACTCATCTTCTTGTCTACCTCTGTGTGCTATTTGGAACGTGGCAACTCGAACTGGTGCACTTCGGTGCCAAGTTCTATGTTGAATCCAGACAGACATTGGATCGAGTGGGAAAATAGCTATGGGTGGTCACACCAAAACTTGACATCAGTCCGTGAAATCTTTGACAGTTGGGTTGATTGGGGTCCTCAGGATGTTAGGAACTGATGACTGTAGACAACTGGTTTTATAGCTGAAAGTCTTCCTCAATGGTGCAGATTCACTCAATCTCTGTGATCTCCTATATTCACTAGGTGGTTTTTTTTCCTATTCTTTACTATTCTTTTCGAACCTTTTTTCTCTCCTTTGTCTACCTTTGTGTTAAATGGAGTGTGGCAAGTTGAACTGCTGCACTTCTGTGCTAAGTTCTATGTTGAAACTCAGCCGTTCAGTTTACACTGAACGGTGACAGGGAGAAAAATCCGGGAAAAACAGTTGGGCTTTAGGCTAACAAAAGGGTGTAGTGATCATATTTTCACTCTTCAATAGATTCTAGAAGACAGATATACTCATTATCGTCCGACATTTGACATATTTCTTGACCTGAAGGCGAAATTCGATTCCCTTGATCAAGTAATGTTGTGGAAATTTTTAGCAGTAGAGGTGGTGATGAGAAAGTATATCGCACTAGTTGATGAACCACACTCGAACTCACGCAGCTGTGTAAGGGCTTACGGAGATTTGTCAAGTAGCGGTCACCAGAGATGCCCACTGTCCCTGCTTCTATCTAATTCCACCATACACGTACCAGTCGATGTGACGCTAATCGAATTTAATTACTTAATGATTGACTTATTACTAAGGAACAGTCTCATCAGCTTAAAGTATCCGGATGGTATTGTCCTTAGTGAAGACCGTATGTTCCAACTGTTCTCATTCGCATCCCTTACATTTTCACTATATGGATTTATTCACCAAAACTCTTCCATTCTTAAGTCTTACAAAAACCACGGGGTGAACACACTAACATACGGGCTGATATCAGTGTCACATTTCACACCAACACAAAGGTGAATATCAACGAGATACAATAACAAAAACAGTAATCAGGAAAATTCACAAGACGAAGAGGAAAATAGATAAAGAAAACGCATACAAAGGGTGAATGTGTTTGTATTACTATAACTGACTTCAAACCAGCACACATTCACATAATTTCACAATCTCACATCTGAAACAGACAAAATATAGGCCTCTAGATAGCATTTAAAGACTTGACACTGCTTCTGTCTTCATCTGTTCAGTTATTCGTAACACTGCCCTGGAAAATACTGCATTTGAACGAATAAGGTAGATTGAAGTATCATTCCTTCTCTAGTAAAACCACACCGCTAAAGTTATCTTTTAACAATAAATATTTAAATGCTGTGCCTCAATAAACAAAATGCTTTGTCAGTTAAGGTTCTAACAAATGGATGTCACTTTGTGAGATAGATGTAACATCAACTCATCTACTAGACTCCACTTAATTAGTAGTGATTCCGTAAAATCCACACTGCGCATTAGTGAATTCATTGTTTAGTCCCAAAAATGCAAATGAGTAAATTTTCGCAGTTAGCAACAGTACAATCAGTCACCAAAAATTCTAAAAATGGTCATAGTAATACGTCACCGTAGAAGCACCTTCTGTACATACACCCAGACTTCGTTGAACAGGTAAGTCTCAGGCCATAAGAAAACTGTTAATAGTGGTCTTAAGTGGAACGTTTCGATGATTAAAATGAATTTGTACAACTAAGGAGCAACACTTCAGAGTGATTGTTACGCAGACCCAAAGAAAGTTAGTATTAAAACGTGAAAAATATGTGGGTATACTTACCGTCTTTTGCTACGTACAGAAGTTGAAAACAATGGGATAGTCTGCTCTCCGTGGCGAGCCCACAGAATAGGACCATCGTTACTTTCCCGCGGATCCATGCCGCTCAGGCTTGACAAAACGCCCCAAGGCGTAACCATGTTTAAGAAAGGGTCTTTCTCAATCATCTCAATAAGTGTTTTGTCAAAAAATCCACGTTCTTCTCCTTTGACACCCACGATGCTCAATGCATGTAGTGGTCCGAAGCGATAAATGCCGTTTGCATAAGTCTTGTGAACGTTTTTCACATACTGTGCAAGGTTCATAGTTTCATTTGCATTCTTCTGCTCAAGTGGATTTGTAGAAACCGTGAGGTTGGGATGTGTAGAAGATAAATATGATAATAATTCCGGTATTCGTCTTGCTGCACCATGAACAACACCAATGCAGTAGTGCGAAAAAGGGACACGAATACCGCGCTTTCTTCGTTCAGTAAACAGTGTTTTAAAGTATTTCCGAGCCAACATATTTAACTCATCTGTTGTAAGATGCACTAATTCATCGGCATACGAATGCAAAGCGTAGCCACCACCATTTGCGTGATGTTCAACATAAATCATATCATATAAATGTCGCCTAGGTGGACGAGGTACTTTAAGGCTATTGGAAAAACGAATAATATGCCCCAAAGAGTCATGACAGTTAGGAGAAACTATTGGGTGAGGCCGCAATCTGCTACTATTTCCTGCGTTATCTACTGCTGCCTTATGACGTCTCTTGTTGTTTACTTGTCCTTTACATTTGAAGTTAGGATCTCTCCGTGGATCTAAGTCTTGAGTCTTCATCCCAACATAGTAAGACTGACGCGCTACGCCAAATTTTCCAAATACCCGCGTATCACCTTGAAAAATCCAATATCCAATATCCTGATTACGAGCTAGTATAAACCAGTGATTTCTTTGAGCTCGCTTCTTGATTGTGAGGTAGAGGTTCCAGATCTTCGGTGAGCTTCTGCGTAGTAAGTCCCGCCACTCGACTGCTTTAGCTCTGGTAGACTCCAGGAGGAGTGGTGCGGGGATTGGTCGAGATGTGGTTTGTAGTATGCAGTATGTTAGGACTGTATTGCTGCCGTGAATGGAGTTTGACCTAACTCCCGTTGGTCATTCGGTGTAGTCATAAAAGCAGAATAGTAATAATAATAATAAAAATAATGGGTTGTAGTGTAGATAATATAGGTTGAGATAAGTGGAATAATAAAGGTGACCTAAGGAAAAGATAGAGTGAGAGAAGGCAGAATAGGTCGTGGGGATTTAGTTTGTACGCTTATCCATTGACAGTGGGGTTTCAAGTTTTATGAGGATAAGCCATTGAGACACAAACCTTGCATTTCTGCATGATTGTCTAGCTTCCGCTTAAAAATCTCCAGAGATGGCGCTGTAGTCACGGCCGCCGGTAAAGCGTTCCAGAGACGGCAAACACGAAGCGAAAAGAAATGTGATCGCACTCGAGTCTTTGGTCTCTGGTGTGCTATCCTTAGCGGGTTACCTCGTGGAAGCCTATAATCACTTAATGGCAGGATGCTTTTATTTGGGTGGGCCTGGTCATTTAGGATCTGGTAGACGGTGATGAGGTCTCCCCTGTGCCTACGGTAACTAAGTGTGAAAAGACCTAATTTCTTTAGTCTTTCCTCATATGATTTGTTGCGGAGGCCGATCACCCATTTTGTCGCTCGTCTCTGGACACTTTCTAGAATGTTAGCATCCCTTTTGAGTAGCGGAGGTGCAATGATATTATGCACCTCAAGGTGTGGCCTCACATATGCCTTATATAACCTTAAGAACAGTTCGGGAGTGAGAGCTCCCAGCTGCCTATGCATAAAGTGTAAAGTTGCGTAGGCTTTGGCGACGTCCCTCGAGTAATTTCCACTGGTGTCTAGCTTTTCTGTTAGAATAAGACCTAGATCTCGCTCTGATGGAACACAACTCAAGTTCTGGCCACCAAGGGTGTAATTTACACTCTGTGACCTGCCGGAATGAAGTTGCACTACTTTGCACTTCTTTAGGTTGAAAGGCATTCCGTTAGCCAGAGCCCAGTTTCCCAGAGTTTGCAGGTCAGCCTGCAATCTATCTGAGTCTTCCGATGAGTTTATTGCTCTCCAAATCTTTACGTCGTCAGCGTAAAGAAGCGCAGAGCAGTTTAGTTGGGGGGGCAGGTCGTTGATAAAAATCAAAAACATCAACGGCCCTAGGATAGAACCCTGAGGAACCCCTGATGCCGAGGTGTGCCAGGATGATCGGATGCGGTTGACTTTGGTGCAGAATTCTCTCTCGCCTAAGTAATCTTTCAGCCATGCGAGAAGTGCTCCAGAAACACCCGCCTTGCTTATTTTGTGAAGGAGCAGACCATGGTGAACTGTGTCGAATGCTTTCGCAAAGTCGAGAAAGATCACGTGGGCTGGTACCTTTTTGTCCCAGGATAGTGTCCAATCGTTCCAAGCTAGTAGAAGATTCGTCACGCAGGATCTTCCCCTCCTGAAACCGTGCTGTGCTTCGTGAAGAAGGTTAGTCCCATCGAAGTATTTTCTCATGTGGTCGTCAATGAGACTTTCCAATATCTTCGATATCACTGGAAGTAGAGCAACTGGTCTGTAACTGGTCGCATTCTGCCGGTCACCACCCTTGAAGATAGGGGATAGGATTGCTCGTTTCCATTCACATGGAAGTTTCCCTACATCAAGGGAGTGTTGGAACAGATCACTTAGGGGTTGACAGAGACTTTCTGAACACTGCTTCAGGACAGATGGTCTGATGTCATCACAACCTGAAGACTTTCCCGAAGCCAACCTTCCCAATTTTGCAAGTACCATAGCCGGGGTAATTTGAAATGTACCCAGCAGGTTTTCGCGTGTTGGTTTTGCGATGTAATCTGGATGTTCTGTGGGGTAATATCCTCGTTACTGTTTAGTTGCCTGTGAAAGGCTAGGCTGAATGTCTCTGCCATTTCAAGACTAGTAAGAGATTTCCCATCAGAACCCACTAGATTGCATGCTCCCTGGTTGGTCGGTTTTCTTTCGGACATAAACCTGTATAGGCTTTTGGGGTTCACGAGAAGCTTATTGGCGAGGTCTCCCTGAAATGTCCTTCTATCGCTCCGGACTCGTATGTTACATCGATTCCTGAGTTCAAGGTACACTTCATATTCGGGTTGACTCTTCGATCGTCGCCACGCAAACCAGGCTTTTCGCTTCGCCTGCAGAAGGCGTTGTGTCCCCCTTTTAGCCATGATCGTTGCTTCCTAGCTTTTGGTGTGACTAAAGGAACAGTGTCTGAGACCGCCTGGTGAATGATCTCCTTTACCACTCTCCAGTGTTCTTCTACTGTTAGCTCTGTCCATTTTTTAGGCCAATTTGCTTCAGACAGAAGTCTTCGCATTTTGGTGTAGTTGGCTTTGTTATAACACAGATAGGGCTGTGTATTGTCCCACTGTAAGCGCTCGCGGAGGACTATGTCGAATACTATGACCGCGTGGTCACTACTACCTATGGGAGTCGTGATCTGAACGTTTTCCACTAGTAGCTGGTCACTAGTGAGCACGTAATCCAGTCTAGAAGACTTCCCATCAGGGCCCCATCTAGTATCCATCTTGACATTTTCAGTGAATCCAGCCTTCCTGATGGTATGCAGCAGATTTCGATCAAATCTATCATGGGCTTTTCCCGACACCAAGTTAAGAGATGGGGCATTGAAGTCACCAGCTATGTTAATTTGATCATAACCCATGTCTTGATGTTATAGAATGCATGCCTAAGTGGAAGTCTCACACTTATACTTGTAACTCCACAATGCAGCATGATATTAAACACCGCCACAGCGCCTCACCCACACTAAAAAGCTTAAGGTTAATAGGAACAGTTCTCATCTGCAACCACATCTGCTTCACCTTCTGTGGAAAGCTTTGAGCGGAAGCTGGATGCTGATGCAGCAACACGAGAACTATGTCCAAATGGATTGAACCTAGGTCGAAATGAGATGTAACCATAATGTACTGCACTCTGTCAATGGGTCTCAACTAAACTTGTCGTCGCCATCGCCCAGTCTCTCGCTTCTCCTGCTATTCTGCCTATCATCCATCTACGCAACTATTTTTTTTGTTCATTTGAAGTTTACATATTCGCTACTAATTATATTGTTACTATTATTACCATTATTGCCACTAATATCATCCAGCATTCTGACTGCACAGGTGAAAAGATTAACTGCAGACACAGCAGCTCCACGGTTTCGACACACCGTATGCTGCAAATCACAAATGACCAAACTCTCATACCACCCCCTTCGACGTCGAAGGAAGCCATGGAAGGTGAGTGGTGGAACCAACTATGCAGATACTTACTCTGGATAAGGAACCTTTGCATCATATCCAAGAAGTGAGCACAATGATGTAAAAAGGATTTTGCAGCTGATGGAAGATATCAATAGGATGAAAACAAGTAGCCAGATGAGGCATGTTCTGAGTCACGAATTCACAACTTATCCTTCTAAGATGACAAAACAGGCATTATCTCCTTTAATAATCAGTATCGTTTTTATGTGCCAGTGTAAATCACATCGAATTCTTTGTTCTCTCCTCTTGATTGTTAAGTAACGGTTTCAAATCTTCAAATATTCTCACTTTTAATCTTAGAGCAAGACGTACAACGGAACAATATTGTCTACTGTTAGATCTTCATCAGGCTTTACTCTCATTTGCATAGATTTGAATACAAAAAATTTTGACCAATGACGGTGATTTTGTGGATTGAATAATAATAATAATGTGGTAGATGTTTTGAACGTAGTTAATAACGATGATTATAATGATAAGAAAATATTGCTAATAAGGTTTGTGCAGGTGGCGATAAGAATAACAAAGGTAGTAATATGTGTATATGTAGACGATTCAATAAATAAATTAGGTCAAATCTTAAAAGTTACGTAATACTAAAGGTAGGTGAAGTGGACAGATAATCAGAGTTTAAATAAATGTCATAAAAATACGAAGGCGATGGAAAATAAGAAAGGGTGGGAGGGTTCTGAATAGAATTCACCTAGGCCAAGGGAGAGACAACGGTAGAACAAACTTCTTTTGTATGCAAAGACTAGGATTGTTCTCTCGAATTTCCATAGCTTCAGCTATGTGTAAAAGACGGACCCTAACATTCTATCGAGCCTTTCATTCGGAATTCGGACCCGTTTTACACATAGCTGAAGCTGTGGAAATTCGAGAGAACAATCCTAGTCTTTGCATACAAAAGAAGTTTGTTCTACCGTTGTCTCTCCCTTGGCCTAGGTGAATTCTATTCAGAACCCTCCCACCCTTTCTTATTTTCCATCGCCTTCGTATTTTTATGACATTTATTTAAACTCTGATTATCTGTCCACTTCACCTACCTTTAGTATTACGTAACTTTTAAGATTTGACCTAATTTATTTATTGAATCGTCTACATATACACATATTACTACCTTTGTTATTCTTATCGCCACCTGCACAAACCTTATTAGCAATATTTTCTTATCATTATAATCATCGTTATTAACTACGTTCAAAACATCTACCACATTATTACTATTATTCAATCCACAAAATCACCGTCATTGGTCAAAATTTTTTGTATTCAAATCTATGCAAATGAGAGTAAAGCCTGATGAAGATCTAACAGTAGACAATATTGTTCCGTTGTATGCCTTGTTCCAAGTAAAGTTTGCTGATCTTCAACAAACTTCTGTGTAGTGTATCCTGCCACTCGATTTTGAGGTCTTTGGTTGATTCCAAGACGAGTGGTGTTAGGATTATGTTTATGTGGT